GCCCGCCCGACCCGACCCGCCCGTTAGGAGGTTCTCGCGTGCCAACTCGATTATGCACCACACTTTAATGTCCCGCCCGCCCGACCCGACCCGCCCGTTAGGGTCCGCCCGCCCGAGGGGGAGGGGGAGGAGACGGAGGAGGGGGAGGAGGGGGATGAGGAGGAGGAGAAGGAGGAGGAGGAGGAGGAGGAGGAGGAGGAGGAAGAGGAGGGAGGAGGGAGGAGGGTGGAGGAGGAGGAGGAGGCAGGAGGCAGGAGGCAGGAGGCAGGAAGGAGGGAGGATCAGGGAGGAGGGAGGGAAGAGGCAGGAGGCAGGAGGCAGGAGGGAAGAGGCAGGAGGGACGATCAGGGAGGAGGGAGGAGGGAGGGGGAGGAAGAGGAGGAGGAGGAGGAAACGGCGGAGGAGGGAGGAGGAAAAGGAGGGGAATGAGGAGAAGGAGGAGGGAGCAGGTAGGAGGGAGGAGGGAGGAGGGAGGAGGAAGAGGAGGAGGAGGAGGAGGAGGACGAGGAGGAGGAGGACGAGGATGAAGAGGACGAGGAAGAGGAGGGAGGAGGAGGAGGACGAAGAGGAGAAGAGGAGGAGGAGGAGGAGGAGGCGGAGGAGGAGGAGGGGGATGAGGACGAGGAGGAGAAGGAGGGAGGGAGGAGGAGGAGGAGGAGGAGGGGAGGAGGAGGAGGAGGAGGAGGAGGAGGAGGAAGAGGGGGAGGAAGAGACGGACGATGAGGAGGATGATGATGAGAAGGAGGAGGATGATGATGATGATGATGAGGAGGAGGAGGAGGAGGAGGAGGAGGAGGAGGAAGAAGTGGTGGAGGAGGAGGAGGAAGGAAGGAGGAAGGAGGAAGGAGGATGGAGGAAGGAAAACGGCCCTGCTGGCCCTGCCGGCCCTACCGGCCTTATACCCCTGCCCTAGCTGCCGGCCCTACCGGCCCTGCCGGCCCTACCGGCCCTGCTGGCCCTGCCAGCCCTGCCGGCCCTACCGGCCCTGCCGGCCCTACCGCCCCTGCTGGCTTTGCCGGCCCTGCCGGCCCTGCCGGCCCTGCCGGCCCTGCCGGCCCTGCCGGCCCTACCGGCCCTACCGGCCCTGCCGGCCCTACCGGCCCTGCCGGCCCTGCCGGCCCTGCCGGCCGCTGCCGGCCCTGCCGGCCCTGCCGGCCACTGCCGGCCCTACCGGCCCTACCGGCCCTGCCGGCCCTGCCGGCCCTACCGGCCCTACCGGCCCTACCGGCCCTGCCGGCCCTACCGGCCCTGCCGGCCCTGCCGGCCCTGCCGGCCCTGCCGGCCCTGCCGGCCTTGCCGGCCCTGCCGGCCCTGCCGGCCGCTGCCGGCCTTGCTGGCCGGCCTTACCGGCCCTACCAGCCCTGCCGGCCCTGCCGGCCCTGCCGGCCCTACCGGCCCTGCCAGCCCTGCCGGCCCTGCCGGCCCTGCCGGCCCTGCCGGCCCTGCCGGCCCTACCGGCCCTACCGGCCCTGCTGGCCCTGCCGGTTCTGCAGGCCCTGTCGGCCCTGCCGGCCCTGCCGGCCCTGCCGGCCCTGCCGGCCCTGCCGGCCCTGCCGGCCCTACCGGCCCTGCCGGCCCTGCCGGCCCTGCCGGCCCTGCCGGCCGCTGCCGGCCCTGCCGGCCCTGCCGGCCGCTACCGGCCCTGCCGGCCACTGCCGGCCCTGCCAGCCCTGCTCTAGCTGCCGGCTCTACCGGCCCTGCCGGCCCTACCGGCCCTGCCGGCCCTGCCCTGCCGGTCCTACCGGCCCTACCGGCCCTACCGGCCCTGCCGGCCCTGCCGGCCGCTGCCGGCCCTGCCGGCCCTGCCGGCCGCTACCGGCCCTACCGGCCCTGCCGGTCTCTGTTTTTTTTCTGGGTCCCCCTGACTGAACTCTACGAATTGCCATTCACTGTAATCACCGACGAGAGAAAAGGGCAACTGCAGGAGGAGAAGGAGGCGTTAGAGGACCGCCGATGAAAGCCATCCGGGGGGGCAGGGAAACTGGCCAACACATTGTCTGTTTTGTCTCCCCCGTCGGGCCCTGCCTGCGGGGGGGATCTCATTCGAACAGGACCCACGTGGCTCTCCAGCGAGTGCAGCAACCGCTCGTTTATCCACCCGAGCAGCGATTCGACTTACCTCATCGTGCGCACGCCGACGCTCTGCTTCGCCAGGATCCCCCACGTCACCACCACCAGGTTGGGCGGCTGAAGATGCGGAGGTTGTCGCCGCCGACGGTGGAGCCGCCGCACCTCCACCCTGTCCTCCATTATTTGGTGCCGTTCGTTAACCAGACGCCGATTGGACTGCAGCAATATCTGATAAGCTGCATGCCCAGCTCGGACGGGGTTGGCATTCTCCATGGCATACTCGAAAAGATGCTTCACCTCCTCGGAGATCGTATCCTTGAGCTGAAGGATCGTGTCGGGTCAGCCTTTTTTACTGGCGTCGGATACTCAAACGCGACCACCTGCGAATACAAAGGCTGAGCCAACTCCGTGTGTTGCTGCTGCTGCTGCTGCATGGCCTTGTGCTGGCGCTTGAGGTCAGCCAACGAAGTCTCCCGGGTTTCCAAGAGACTCTTGCCACTTCTTGAACTTGGCGACCTCCACTTGCATGCGCTTGTCGAGCTTCCCGATCTGCCAGCGCAAGTCGTTGACTTGCTCCTGCAGCGTCTTGGGTGCGACGTTGGGCACGGTGGCGGCGAGCGCGTCCAGCTTGGCCTGGTCGCGCTCGACCGTGGCAGTGTCTGGGTCCCTCTTGGCCACGGCGATGACCAGCTGCATGCTCTTGGAACCGAGGGGGCCGTCGGACGCTGCACCGGTGCCTCCACCACCGCCGGCCATGACCTAGATGCCTGGCTGCAGGGTGGGGGGCTGCCAGCGGCCAGGAGGACACTGAGGACCACGACGCCGAGGAAGATCCCGCTGATGGCCCCATACCCCGCGCGGTGGCGGCGCTGGGCCCGAGTCGAGCCTCAATGCTTGCACGCATTGACCGCGTTGCTGTTCTTCCCGCAGCCACATACGAAACATTCTATTTTCCAACACGTTTGTCGTGCTGGCCTGAATACGAGAACAGACCTTGATGACCATGCTGCTAATGCCACGGGCGCGTACCACTCCAGGAGGGTTGCGGCTGCGAGGCTCCGCTCCACGAAGACCATCCCCCATGGCGCATGGCGACACTTGACGAAGCATTGCGAGACGAATTGCAGGGCGTAGTCAGTTTGATCCGCAGACACCCTGCCGTTCTGAATCGAGCACCTGCAAAACCCAAGGATCTGGGCGCAAGACGGCTGACAAAGGAGAACGTGGAGGAAGAGAGGGGGGAATGCAAGAGAGGAGGGAGGTTCAGTTTAGGCGATCGGGTTGCGCGACGATGTCGCCGTGACTGGAAAATTCGCCCCCCCAAGCCCGCGCCCCCCTGCCCTCCACCGGCGGCGCGACGAGGCAGGCGTGCGGCAGGAGAACGCGAACACAATGCGCGGCGAAGGCGGCGTGCGGCACGACGAAGAAGGGTGCAGAAAGCGAAGAAGGCACGACGCAGAGGACGAATAAGGGCGAAGAAGGCACACGAAGAAGGCGTGGGGCACGACGAGGACGGCGAAGGAGACTGGAGCGAAGGGTGCCCATTGGCAAAAGCGAGGGCGCCAGGACGGGGACCGCCCTTGGCGCGCGGGGGCGCGGCGTCGACCGCGTCCTTCTCTCGCGGGTGCGCTGAGCAGCTGTACGCCGGTTTCGCGTCTAGCGTCAAGGAGGAGAGGATTCCGAGGGAGGAGTTCTGTAGGATCCAAGGCTCCAGGCCCACCCCCTCCAAAGTGCTGGTGGGATCGGTCCCCCCCACTGGATGGGTACGCCCGTGAGCCTGGCGAGGGCCTCGCGAATGGGATCGCCCCATCCCCCCCCCGCCGCGGTCGTGGCCCTGTGGGCGTTGCGTGGTGGAGGAAGGTGTCCGTGCCCCCGCCCCTCCCGCTGTGAGCGTGGGGTGGTGTTGCGATGCCGCCGTCGTCGTCGTCGTCGCCGTCGCCGTCGCCGTCGCGGTCGTCATCGTCGTCGGCGTCGGCGTCGGCGTCGTCGTCGTCGGTCCGCTGAACCCTCGGATCGGAAGAAGTCCCGACAAGCCTGTGGCGGAGCTCCAAGCTTCGGGGCAGCACAACCGCCTCGGAATCAACACGCTGAACTGGAACCCGGAACGCAACTCCGCGGGGCTCACACTGCAACGGGGCTCACACTGCAACGGGCCCCATTCCGTCCAACGCGGTGCGGCGCCTCATCTGCTCCAACTCCTGCCGCCCTGCCCTGCCTCACCGCTGTCCCCCCGCTAGGCGCACTGACCCATGTTTTAGTCACCATTGGCACCTGATGCTCGGATCGGGCAACGGGGGGGGCAAATCGGAGCGTCGCGGTGAAACAAATACTTAGCTTGGCGAAGGGCCCAACCATGTGCAGCTGCGTGTAGCGCAAGGCATGGCACTCTCTTCATATACTGCTGCGCACCGCGGGGCAGCGCGGATAAAGGGGTTGTGGAGTAACGCGGTGAGCTCCAATTGGGCACGCACGCGCACACACTCACTCAGGCCGCCGCGGTGAGCATGGCAACATGGGTGTAGCGACAGCCCCATACTTGAGCTGCGCTCGTGCGTAAGACAGTTTCTCAAGACAATACGACATCGAGCAGCAATGGTCAACAGCTGCTGGTCGCCTGCTTCAAGAGCGACCTTCAATGTTTCGCCCCCCCCCCCTTCTTCGATGTCAAGCGAGGCTAGAAGACCTGCTATTGATCGACCCACTCGTCTCCTTGATGTACCTGTTCCTTTCTCAGCAAGCGGCCTCTAGCAGGCAAGAGGAGAGGAAGGGGAGGGGTGAAAGGGAGAGGGGCAGGAGGAGGAGGAGGAGGAGCAGGAGGAGGAGCAAGAGGAGGAGGAGGAGGAAGAGGAGAAAGAAAAGGGGATCAGGAACATGAGGAGGACTATCCCTCTCATCCTTCTCCCCCTGGGGCCCAAGAGGAGCCAGGCCGCCTCCAGGAAGGAGCTGACCGTGGCCTCGCGCTCATCTGCTGCCCTCCCCTGCCTCCCCTATCCTCCCCGAGCCCACCTGGCCGCGCAGCCGATCGCCGCCTTGCTACCGCTAGCAGCACGACTTCGGCCCCAAAGAAGCCTCACTAGGAGGCCCAGGCTGTCAGAAACCTGGACCTCGGCGCAGGAAGGATGGGAGCCTCACGGGCTCTCACTGCAAAAACAGACTCGAACCTAGAGAGCCCAAGTCATCCTGGCAAGATGCAGACGGCTGCTTGATGCGCGTCCCCGACGCTGCTCCCCCGATCGCCAGAGCCCGACCTGGAACAGCCGTAACAACCCAACGGTGCACCTTTGCATTTCTCCGACCCGACCCCCCATCCCACTCTCCGTGCAGTTCTCGCCGTTCCCGCACACTGCCCCAGCGCGACCCTGCACACTGGCAGCAGGGGATGATCTAGTGACAAGGGAAGGAGGAGGAGGAGGAGGAGGGGAGAAAAGAAAGAGAGAACGAGAAAGAGAGAGAGAGAGACACATATAGAGAGAGATGGAGTGACAGAAAGAGAGGGGGGAGAGAGAGAGAGGGAGATAGAGCGATTCAACACATACCTATATATGTATGTATATATATATATATGCAGAGAGAGAGGGAGCAAGAAAGAGAGAGAGAGAGAGAAGGAGAGGAGAGAGAAGGGAGGGAAAGGGAGGGCGAGGGAAAACATCCCTACCCGTCTCCCCCACCTCAATCCACACTGATCCGGCCTGAAGTTGGGGGTGAGATCCAATTGACGCGGAGTCGCCCAATGGGGAACTCGATGTCGATGTCGGTTCATGTCGTGCGTGACGTGCGTTAGGACGAGGCGAGGCGAAGCTGCGCGATGTCCGGCCCTACTGAAAGCCAACCCAAGCCAAAATGAGGCACCCCGGCCAAAGCGTTGGTCGCGTCCCGATGGTTGTCCCGATGGATGTTCCGACTGTTGTCCCGATGGTTGTTACACAATGTTTGTCCCGACGGTTGTCCCAGGCATTGTCCCGACGGTTGTCACGGTACTTGTCACAATCGTTGTCCCGATGGTTGTCCCGATGGTTGTCCCGATGGCTGTCCGATGGTGTCCCGATGGTTGTCCCGATGGTTGTCCCGATGGTTGTCCTGATGGCTGTCCCGATGGTTGTCCCGATGGTTGCCCCGATGGTTGTCCCGATGGTTGTCCCGATGGGGGTCCCGACGCCTGTCCCGATGGATGTCCCGCCCCATTCCCGTCCCCCTCCCCCTCACAACTCTGCCCTCCCCTCCGCCCAACCTCCCCACCTCCTCCTCGTCTTTGTGCCCTCCTTTCTCTTGCTTTGCTTCGCCGTCCTCTCCTGTTATATGTATGTATGTATGTATGTATGTGGGCATGTATGTATATACATGTGTATATGTGTATGTATGTATGCATGCATGCATTCATGCATGTAAGTATATGTGTATGGCTATGTGTATGTACGTGTACGTATATGTATGGATAGATCTGCATGTATGTATATAGGTATGTATATAGGTATGTATATGTGTATGTGTGTGCATGGATGCATGTATGTATGCACGCATGTATTTGTGTATGTATGCATGTTTCTATGTTTGCATGTACGTTCATGGATATATGTATGCATTTATGTATGTATGTGTGTATGTATGTCTGTCTGTGCGTACGTACGTATGTATGTCTGTCTGCCTGTATGTGTGTGTGCCTGTCTGTCTGTCTGTATGCATGTATTGTCTTGTGTTGGATTGTATTGCATTGTATTGCATTGCATTGTATTGTATGTATACGTGCACGTATACATGTATGCATGTATGTATGTATGTATGCATGTATGTATGTTTGTGTGGTCATGTATGCATGTATGCGTGTATGTATGTATGTACGTGTGTATGTATGTATGAATGTATGCATGCATGTGTGTATGTATGTATGTATGTATGTATGTATGTATGTATGTATGTATGTATGTGTGTGTGCACGTACGGATGCATGTTTGTACGTATAGGCATCTGCATATATATATATATATATATGTACATACATAAATGCACATTATCTACATCGATACATCGAGAGTAGCCCTTCTGCAGCTGCTGCTGCCGTCTCGGCTGCCCTCGCCTCTCTCCTCCCTTCGCTGCCGCCGCCCTCCTCCGCCGCCCGCTCAACTGGCCGCTGCGCTGCCGCCCTGCGCCCGCTGCTGCCCGCAGCTGCAGCACCCTGCGAGGCGCGGCCCCCCGTGCGCGCGCGCCTCGCGGGCCGGGAAGCACACCTCGCTGCCGAGCTCGCAGCTGCACCCCCAGCCAGGGGTCGACAGCCCCATGACGCCTCCCCCGGGATGGGAGGCCTCCTCCTCCTCCTCCTCCTCCTCCTCCTCCTCCTCCTCCTCCCCCTCCTCCTCCTCCTCCCCCTCCTCCTCCATTCCATCTCCTTGTGCATAACTCCTCCCTGTCGCACCCCGAGGCCATTTTTTAGGGCGGGCCGGGCGTTTCGCCTAAGACTTCCTCGCCATCGATGAATTTGAAGCTGAAAAATGGCAGCAGCTTCACAGATGCAGGGCGGGTGTTTTTTTAATGTGGCTCTCGCCTTAGCGCCGCGCACATTCGCTTTTTAAAAAATTGGCAGAGCTTGACGGATTGAGGGAGGGTCGTTTTCAAAATGTGGCTCTCGCCTTAGCGCCGCGCACACTCGTTTCAAACATTTGCAAGACTTCACGGATTGAGGGCGGATGGTCTTCAAAATGTGGTTCTCGCCTTAGCGCCGCGCACATTGTTTTTAAATAGTCATCAAAAGCTTCACGGATTGAGGGCGGGTGGTCTTCAAAATGTGGCTCTCGCCTTAGCGCCGCGCGCATTCGTGTTCAAAATTGCAGGAGCTTCACGGATTGAGGGCTGTTGGTTTTCAATATGTCGTTCTCGCCTTAGCGCCGCGCACATTCGTTTTACAAAATTGCAAGAGCTTCGCGGATTTAAAACGGTTCCTTTTCAAAATGTGGGTCTCGCTTTAGCGCCGCGCACATTCGTTTTCAAAATTTGCAAGAGTTTCACGGGTTCCCATTGTCAACGTACCAGAAACGGTGTTTTGGAAAGACTCCAGATTATGCGGGCGCAACAGTTCTGTTCATTCGCGGTGTTGAAGTCCCGAAAACGACACTCTGGCAGGATTCCGTATCGTGAAGACGCAGCAGTCAGGTTGATTCGTGGCGTTGAAATCCCGAGAACAATGTTTTGGCATGCTTCAGGATCTTCATACGGTTGTCTTCCAACGAGGCAGTTCCTTCAATGGAAATGAATCACTGTGGGGACTTATGAAGAGGGAGCTTGGAGGAAGGGTTGCTTCCAACATCGTTGATGACTCTTGGTTTTACACTGGTCCTCCTCCTCCTCCTCCTCCTCCTCCTCCTCAGTTCCTCCTGTTACTCCTCCTCCTCCTCATCATCATCCACTCCTTTTCCTTAACATAATTTCTCCTTGTAGCGCCCCGAAGCCAATTCTGAGGGCGGGCTGGGCGTTTCGACAGAGACCTCCTCACCACTTCTGACCCTGAAACATTAAAACTGACAACCGTTTCACAGATGGAGGGCGGGCCGTTTTCAAATTGTGGCTCTCGCTTTAGCGCGGCGTACATTCGTTTCAACGAATTGCAAGGGTTTCACGGATTGAGGACGGGCCGTTTTCAAAATGTGGCTTTCGCCTTAGCGCCGCGCACATTCGTTTAAAACATTTGCAAGGGTTTCACGGATTGACGGCGAATGGTTTTCAAAAAGTAGCTCTCGCCACAACGCGGCGTACATTCGTTTAAACAATTGCAAGAGCTTCACGGGTTGATGGCAATTCCTTTTCAAAAGGTTGCTCTCGCCGTAGCGCGGCGTACATTCGTTTTAAAGAATTGTCAAGAGCTTCACACATTGAGGGCGGATGGTTTTCAAAATGTGGCTCTCGCCTTAGCGCCGCGCACATTCGTTTCCAACATTTGCAAGAGTTTCACAGATGGAAGACGGCTCCTTATCAAAATGTGGCTATCGCCTTAGCGCGGCGCACATTCGTTTCCAAACTTTGCAAGAGTTTCACGGGTTCCCATGGTCAACTTGCCAGAAATGGCGGTTTGGAAGGATTCCGGATTATGATGGTGCAACAATTATGTTGGCTCGCTGTGCTGACTTCCCAGGAATGGCGTTCTTGCGCGATTCACGATTGTTAAGACGCAACAGTCAGGTTGATACGTGGCGTTGAAGTTCCGAGAACAATGTTTTGGCGTGCTTCAGGATCTCCAAGCGGCTGTCTTCCAACGGGGCAGTTTCTTCAATGAAAATGAACCGTTGTAGGGGCCTACGAAAAGGGAGCTTGGAGGGAGGGTTTCTTCCAACATCGTTGATGACTGTAGGGTTTACACTGGTCCTCTTCCTCCTCCTCCTACTCCTCCTCCTCCTCCTCCTCCCCCTCCTCCTCAACTCCTTCTACCACTCTTCAACTCCTTCTACCACTCCTCTCCTTCTCCTCCATCTCGGCCCTTCTGCTGCTGCTTCTCCTCCTCCTCCTCCGCACTTTTCCTCGTCCTCTCGTTCTCTATTCGACAACCTCCTCGTGCCCCTTCTCTCCCATTCCCCCTTTCCCCGTTCCTCCTCGTCCCTTCGCCATCCCAATTCCCCATACCCCCTTTCTCCTCCCTTTCCCCCTCCTCCTCCTTCTCCTCGTCCTCCCCTCCCCCCACCCCTCCCCCATCTTACTCCCGTTCCCTCTCGTACCCCCATTGGCCCCCTTTGTGATAACGACGGGCCCGTGCTTTCGAAGCTACGCGGCCTTGTCAAAACGACGGGTTCGCGCTCGTGGTGAAGCGACGGTCCCTTGCACATTTGCTACGCTTCTGTTCGCGCGTGGCCGAGATCCCACACAATCCCTTCCTTTGGCCTCGTTTCCTCTGTGCGGCAGAAAAAAAATCCCTGGCGAGGGGTTCGAGCACGGGGGTTACACCCGTCTCAGTTTTCGGACGAAAAACGAGCTCTCAGCCGCGGGGGTTCTCTCACACGGGCTTCCTCCCCCCTGGCGCAACCAGAGAGGACAAGCGCGAGAGCCCAGATCGTACATGCAATGCATCAGCATTCTCGTAGTAGCTGTGCTGGAATTGTACTCGTACTCGTTGTACTGTACTTACTTGTTTTTATTGTGGTAAGATGGCATTCCAGCGCAATGTACAATTTGGTGTTAGCTGAAAGTTCTTATTTGTTGTACTCTAGTACCAGGTGTACTCTAGTACTCGTTGCACTCTAATACCACTGGTACTTTAGTAATAATGATACGAAGATGCGAATCGAATTGTGATACTGGGTGTACTGTAGCACCCTGATATTAGCTGCACACTAGTACCAGGCGCACTCAAATTTTAGCTGTCCTCTTTCCGGTGGCAAGGCGCGAGTGGAAGAAAGAAATAAATCCACGCGCTTCCAAGGGTCGAATGTGTTAACGGGTCGCCGCGAGGAGGGGCCCTGCGTAGACGGAAGAAAAGACATCGGGCCAGATGATCGCGATGATGGTGGTGATGATTCCGACGACGATGATGACTATGATGATGATGATGATGATGATGATGATGATGATGATGATGATGATGATGATGATGATGATGATGATGATGATGATGATGATGCTGATGCTGATGCTGATGCTGATGATGATGATGCTGATTATGAGTGTCATGTTGATGATGATGGCGACGGTGAAAAGGATGATGATGCTGATGATGATGATGATGATGATGATCATGCTGATGGCGAATACGATGATGATGCTAATAACGATTTCAGGCTTCGTATGGGTGGGGGGGGCTCAGTTTCGGTGAATGAGCAGCTCTCGGATGGCGAGCTTGCGTTTGGCAATTGAGCGCGCGGGCCCGCATGAGAGCCTCACCCCTTCTACTCGTGTCTCATGAGAGGACCCGACCTCTCATCGCGTTGTATGTAGCGATGAGAAAAGCATGCATACGACTGGTACCGTCCACAACTCGAACAGACATACTGCCAATCATAAGGATGATGATCATCATGATGTTGGGGCTGCTGTTGATGATGATCATGATGATGATGCTGGTGATCATTATGGTGATGGTGATGGTGATGATGCTGCTGTTGCTGATGCTGATGATGCTGATGGTGATGATGACGATGATGATGACGATGCTGATGTTAATTAATGTTGTGATAATGACGGGACGCGGGGATGACGCAGGACGAGAGGAACGTGGGGGGAGGATCTGGGGGAAGGGACGTGGGAAGGAGGTAGGAGGGATGGGCACCATGATAATGAGGAGAAGAAAAAGAAAAAGGCGGAGGCGGAGGAGATGCAGTGAGAGATTGCGGAGGAGGATACGGATGTGTAGGCACGGGAGTTCGAAAATGCAAAGGGAGGATTATGCGAAGAGACGCAGGTTGCGAGTAGGAATAAGAGGAGGGTCATCCTTACTACGACCAACAAGTAAGGAGGCGCAAAGGATGGGGAACACGTAGACATAGGACAAGGAGAGTACGAGGGGGATCCATTTCCCCAACACCCCATCCCAAAGCCCACGTAACCGAGCCACACCTGCCGAAGAAGAGCCGCAACATTACTGCCTCGACGTGGCGGTTTCCTTGGCCCTCTTTCCTGCCCAAAGGATCGGCGAGGGATGAGCCGCTCCCCCTCTCTGTCTTCCTCCCTCCGTGCCCTGCCCACGGCGACGATGATCCCAGCTTCGTGCAGCTGGAACCGCAGGCTCAGGAAGCCCAGCACCATCGACGCCTCCACAGCCAGAGGAGGGGGAAGGGTGCCCCCTGCCGCTTGAGCGAGACGGCCGCCTCAAGTTCGCAGGGGTGGATATAAATATTAATGTCGACGGTACTCCAAATTCCCGCCCTTCAGTCTGCCGCCTCGCTTACAGCACCCCCTCGGAGATATGTCAAAATGTTTCGCGATGCGTTAAGGCCCCAGGGTGCCTCCAGAAGGTCCCAGGAGGCCCCTAGTTACCTCAAGGATAGCCCCAGAGAGTCCTCCAGACGCTGCCATGAAAGCCCAAAGGTGCCTGCAAGAGGCCTCAAGAGGGCTGCTAAACACCCCGACGGCGAACTTGCTTGATAGTGTGTTCAGTTGTGTACTGGTATACGCATGTACATGTACATAAGCCTGAACATGCACATGTACACGTATATAGCCATATACATATACATGCACGCAACTATCTGTATATACATATGTATGTATATGTGTAAATATGTATATGTATATGTTTATATGTGCATCTACTAGAACCACGCGCGTTTGGGTTGTAGCCGACTGCGCAATCGTTGCTAGTATACCTGGCGCTAATCCGCAAAACCCAGGATGTCCAGGGAGGGGTTCCCTGGGGAAGGGCCGCCCTTGGCGCGTGGAGGTGTTGGACCTTGCGGGGGATGGCTTACGGTCGCGGAGCCGTGCAAGATCGACGTGCGACGCGTCGGAAGGCTCTGAGTGTTTCCTGACTGCGCAATTGACGTGACTGCCACGGTGTCCGAGGAGGACCCCAGAATGATCCAGAGGCTCCAGGCCGCCAAGCCGTCGCCGCCGCCGCCGCCTCCGCGGGCGCCGCTGCCGCAGCCGCCGCCACCGTCGCGATGATCGTCGTGGTGGTCTTCGCGGTCGTGGTGGTGGGGGTGGTCGTGGTCTGTGGACGTGATCGGGCGATTGCACGTTCTGGTGCGTGTTTTGCTTTTCCAGGGCCTCCGGGTGCCTCTGGACTCTGGAGATCCGTGGGTCCTCCATGACCTCCAGAGGCCTCCTGGGGCTCTCCTGAAACTCCCACAGGCCCCCAAAGAGAGCTCTAGAGGACAGCCTGGGAGGGCCCGAAAGGGCGCCACGAGAGCTCCCAGAGCAGCGCAAGAGCCCCAGCAATTTAACACAAATTTTGATAAAACGCCGTCCTTGACGAGGAAGCGGTTTTGATTAAATTTGCTTACATTTGGGACCGTCTCAGAACTCTCTTGGGGCGTCTTGGGCGCATCTAGGGCCGTCTTAAGCCGTCTTGGGGCCCTCGTCGGGACCCTCTGGGCCGTCTTGGGGCGGTCTTGGGGGCCTCTTGAGACGTCGTGGAGCGCCACAAGTTCGAAACATAGAGGCCTTCGAAAACACATCACAAAAAAAACCTAAGGACCATCATTGGTTCTTGCCTCTTGCGGCCATCTGGGGAGCGTTGATTGAATCCTCGTGGGCCGTCTGGGGGCATCTTAGGACGGAAGGCTCGAAATATCGCTTCAGGCTCCTGCGCTCGGGCCTCTTTTGGCACCGTCTTGGGGCGTCTTGGGCGCCTCTAGGGCCGCTTGGGGCCCCGTGGGCACTCTTGGGAGCCTCTTGGCCCGTCTCGGGACAATCTTGGGGGCCTCTTGGGACGTCGTGGAGCGTAGGAAACAGGAAAAATCGAGAGACCCGGGAAACTTACAAAACATATGGAACATCAATGATTTTTGCCTCTTGGGGCCCCTTGGGGAGCGCTCGGCGAGCCCTCTTGGGCCGTCTGGGGGCATCTTGGGACGGAAAGCTCGAGTTGTCCTGTCGGGTTCCTGCACGTGGGCCCCTCTTGGGGCCGTCTTAGGGCCCTCTTGGGCCATCATGGGCCCATATTGGGACCGTCTTCGGTTTTGGGAGCCTCTTGGTACGTCTTGAAGCATCGGAAGCTCGAAAATCGAGAATTCCAAGAACACTGAAAAACCCAAGGAAGATCAATGGCGTTTGCCTCTTGGGGCCCTCTGGGGAGCGCTCGTCGAGTTGTTTTGGGCCATCTTGACGCTATCTGGGGCTGACCAGAAGCCCCGCAGAACATCTGGAAGCCTTCTGGTGTTTCTGTGACGTTATTTAAGGCCGTCTGGACGGCCCTCGGGCCGCTGGAGAGGATGCCGGGGGAGCCTGGCGCCCCCATGGCGAGTCGGGGCAGCTGGGAGAAGGCGCCCGACCCTGTAGAACCACGCGCGCGCTTCGCGCGCGCTTCGGTTCTAGCGCAGCCCATGGCATTGTGATAGCACGTAGGTCGGAGTTTGTCGTGTCGTCGGGGGGAGTTATTGGGCAATCCTAGAGGGACGACTCGCTGTCAGAGAAGGGTTGCGGCCGTCTTTGGCTAGTTAAGCAATGTCGCAAGGTTTCCTCAGACTGGCTTTGGGACTGCTTGGGCGCTGTTTTTTTGGGGGGCAAGTGCCTTTGGCTCCAATGGCGCCGTCCAGGGCTGCCAGGTCGTCATGCCACGACATGCAGGTCTTGGGTTGCGGGCTCGTCGGGGCGATCGCCGCTGAACAGCCTTGGGACATCGACTGGCTTTGTAATGGAATGTCGTAGCTGTGTCTTCCTGGTCTTGAGATGTCAGCGTGTTTTTGGATTGGCTTTGGCGCTGGTTTGGGAAAGATGGAGCTGCCGAACTTGTACAAACATTGGCTTCAAATTTGTTTATGCGATGTGATTCCGCTAGCATGCTGCCTACTCGCTGGGGGCAAGTGGGGGCCTTCTGGAGCCGCCTTGACGGCGGTCTGGGTTCGATCAGGGGAATATGCATGGGTTGTGGGCCAGAGGCCTCGCAGACGTATCTTGTGTTTTTGTTTGGAAGTCTCTCGGAGCCCGGTTGGGAGCCTCTTGGGGGTCTCCCGGGGGCTTCCCAAGGGCCTCCTGGGGACTCTTGAGGGCCTCTTAGTGTACCCTTTTGTGCCTAGGGGCCTGTTGGAGCCTGTTGGCGGCCTCAGGGGGATCTTTGGGAGGAGGGCTCGCGATGGCAGTTCGGGTGCCCCCTCTTGGGCCCATCTTGGGGCCCTCTTGGGCCATCTTCGGAGCTTCTTGGTCCGTCTTGGGGACATCTGGTGCCGTCTAGGGGCCTTCTTGGGAGCCTCTTGAGCAGTATTGGAGCGATTTCGGCGATCTCTTGCGTCGTTTTGCACCGTGTTGAAATCAAGAAGGCGAATGTGCTAAACATGTTACTTGTCCTACGGGTCAGGGGGGCTATTTACCTAACAGCGTAGACTGATAGGTTTCTAGTGGTCTAAAAAGAGCTCACAAATCACTCCACAGGGGGGTCCGGGCAGGTGTTGGGAGTTGCCGGGCGGGCCTGTGCCGACCTCGTTTTTCACCAACAGTCACACACTTCGTGCTCTTCGACTTCCTAGAACTCCATTCCCAGGCCACATTCTGGAGGGCCAGATGCAACTGTAGGCCACTTCGTGCTCTTCCATTTCCCAGAACTCCATTCCCGGGCCACATTTTGGATGCCCGGAGCCAACTGTAGGCCACTTCGTGCTCTTCGACTTCCCAGAACTCCATTCCCGGGCCACATTTTGGATGCCCGGAGCCAACTGTAGGCCACTTCGTGCTCTTCGAGTTCCCAGAACTCCATTCCCGGGCCACATTTTGGATGCCCGGAGCCAACTGTAGGCCACTTCGTGGTCTTCGAGTTCCCAGAACTCCATTCCTGGGCATGATTTTGAATGCCCGGAGCCAACTGTAGGCCACTTCGTGTTCTTCGAGTTCCCAGAACTCCATTCCCGGGCACATTTTTCCTGAGGCTGAGGCAGGCTGATGCTGAGGCAGGCTGAGGCTGAGGCTGAGGCTGGCAGGCTGAGGCTGAGGCAGGCTGAGGCTGAGGCCGAGGCTGAAGGCAGACTGAGGCTGAGGCTGAAGCAGGCTGAGGCTGAGGCTGAGGCAGGCTGAGGCTGAGGCAGGCTGAGGCTGAGGCTGAGGGAGGCTGAGGCTGAGGCTGTGACTGCGACTGCCGTTGCCGCTGCGACTGTCATCGCGAATGCGACTACGACTGCGAGAACAACAGAATTCTACAACTGGATTCTCATCTGAATCTTAAGGGGAATGCTTCCAGATATGCTCCTACACATCGCTGTTAGGTTGCTTTGCCGGGATCATTTTATATATCGGGGCCCTCTTGGGGGGACGCTTGGAGCGGTCTTCAAGCGTCGTGGACGCCTCTTGGGCCGTTTGAGACGCACTTAGGGCTGTCGGAGACCCCTGGAGGGCGCCGCGGGCGTGACTCGGGGCCGTCTTGGCCCGCCGTGACGGCTGCCTGGTGGCTCTCAGAAGCGGTTCTGGGCCCCGGGCCCCCCAGGCCCAGTAACCCGTTATATGAGAATACCTATATCTATATATATATATATATGTATACACAAATACCTATATATATACACATATATATATGCATATATGTATATACATATATACACACATACACATATATATATATATATATATGTGTAACACTTATAACTATATATATATATATATATATACACAAGACTGCAAGAGCGCTACGCGCCATGCACCCTGTTCCTTGTGAGTTTGAATGCAGGCGGCGTGCGCGCGCGTGGACGTGGGGCTGGCCACCGCCAAGTCGGAGTGGCTCAGGATCTCCTAAGCGGGAGCGACTTGAAAACGCCAGCTCTGGCCAGCTCAGGGCGCTTCTGCGCCCAGAGGCGCGAGGAAGTCTCAGGCGACTGGTTGGGGTAGCATGAAGCAGGGCATCCTCCTCCTCCTCCTCCTCCTCCTCCTCCTCCTCCTCTTGCTTTTCCTCCGCATTTTCCTCCCCCCTCTTTCTCCTCTTCATCTTCATCCTCTTTCTGCTCTTCCCTCCTTTTCCTCATTCCGTTTTCTTCTCCTCTCCCTTTCCTTTTCCTCTACTTATTCCTGCTTTTCTTCCACTTGCTATTTTCGGCATGCGCGCTGCTGGGCTGCCGGCTTCTTGCAGATGGCGTTCCTGTTGTTTCGTTTTTTCGCTTCCTGTTG